GACATATTGAAAGTGATGAAGGAGAAAAACCTGCAACCAAGATTACTCTACCCATCAAAAAAAAAAAAAAAAAAAAAAAAAAAAATTAAAACCTAAACATAGTCACCCCAGAGTCTTTCTCTTCTGAATGAAATGACCCATACTCTTAAGACTTTTCCTCATGGTTCTTCTCAAGTCTGTCAGTCATTTACTGAACCATATTTAGGACCTACTGTCCACACTTTAAAAATGTAGACCCACATTGTATTGTAAGTTTATCATTTAAAAAAAAATAGAAACAAATTGTTTAGTTGGAGTATGAGGATCTAGAGTTGTTATACCTAATCTTCATCTTTCTTCCTCTTCTATTATTAATGAATCAAGCCCCCATTAAAAGTAAGTGTTGGGATTTCCCTGGTGGTCCAGTGGTTAGGACTCCACGCTCTCACTGCGGAGGGCCCGGGTGCACTCCCTGGTCAGGGAACTAAGTTCCCACAAGCTGCGAGGGATGGCCAAAAGAAAAAACAACTAAAAAAAAATGTTAATTTTTTTAAACAAGCATATTACTTTAGTTATTATAAGGAATGAGCACACGTTTTGGTACTTTTAAATTAATGCAATGTTAACGTAATAGAATCAAACAGTACTAAAATCTAGTCCTCATTTTGCTGTTGACTTCCTAGGTGTTCTTCATCAAGTCATTTCCTTCTTTGAGCTTTAGTTTCCTCATCTAGATAGTTTATGCACAGTAACTTTTAAATATTTTTATCACAACCCACATTAAGGAATACATTTTATACTATGATCTAGTATATCTTCCTTTCAGTATGTCTTATATGTGAATGAACCAACCCATTCTATATGTGACATTCTCTGATATCTCCCATAATTTTAATTGAGGTAAAATTCACATGAAATCCACTGTTTTAAACTTTTAAAAAGTGTGCAATTCAGTGGCTTTTAGTACATTCACAGTGTTGTGTGACCATCACCACAATCGCATACCAGAACATTTCCATCATCCCCCAAAAGAATCCCCATACCCATTAAGCAAGTCACTACTTTTCCTCTACCTTCCAGCTCCTGGCAACTACTAATCTATTTCTGTCTCTATGGATTTGCCTGTTCTGGACATTTCATATAAATAGTATCATACAGTATGCGGCCTTTTGTGTCTGGTTTCTTTCACTCAGCATATGCTTTCAGGGTTCATCCATGTGGTATCGTCATCAGTACTTCATTCCTTTTTATGGCTAAATAATATTCCACTGTATAGCTATACCATCTTGCTTATCCATTCCTCGGTTGATGGATATTGAGTTGTTTCTACTTTTTTACCTATCATGAACAATTCTGCTACAAGCATTCATGTACAAGTTTTTGTTTGAACACCTGTTTTCGTTTCTCTTGGGTATATATCTAGGAGTGGGACTGCTGAGTCATATGGTAACTCTTTGTTTAATAAGGAACGTCCAGACTTTCCCATAGCAGCCACATCATTTTATATTCCCAACAGCAATGTGTAAGGGTTCTAATTTCTCCACATAGTCACCAATACTTGTTATTTTCTGTGTTTGTGTGTTTTAATTATAACCATCCTAGTGAGTGTGAAGTGATACCTAATTATTGTTTTGACTTGCATTTCCCAAATAAGATGTGATATTGAGCATCTTTCTATGTGCTTATATCTTCTAAAGAGAAATGTTTACTCAGGTCCTTTTGCCCATTTATTAATTGGGATCTTTGTGGTTTTGATGCTAAATTATAAGATTATTTATATTTATTTATAAATCTTATAAATTATAAGATTTATTTATTCTGGATACTAGACCTTTATCAGATATATGTTTTGCAAATATTTTCTCCCACTGTTGGTTGTCTTCTCATTTTCTTGATAAATATCCTTTAATGTACAAAAGTCTTTAATTTTTATGAAGTCTAATTTATCTGTTTTCTTTTGTCACTTGTGCTTTTGGTGTCGTATCTAATAATTCATTGCCAAATTCAGGGTCATGAAGATTTACCCCTGTGTTTCCCTCTAAGAATTTTGTGATTTTAGCTTTTACATTTAGGTCTTTGATCCATGTCAAGTTAATTTTTGCATGTGTGAGGTAAGGGTCTACTTCATTCTTTTGCATGTAGTTATCCACTTGTCCCAGCACCGTTTGTTGAAAGACTATTTTTTTCTTCTGTATGGGCCATACTTTTTTGCTTCTTTTCATGCCTCATAATTTTTTGTTGAAAACTGAACGTTTGAATATTATAGTGTGGCAACTCTGGAAATTAGATGCTCTCCGGAGTTTGTTGTTGCTCTTTTTTTTTTTTAATAAATTTATTTATTTTATTTTTGGCTGCGTTGGGTCTTCGTTGCGGTTTGTGGGCTTCTCGCAGCGGCTTCTCTTGTTGCAGAGCACAGGCTCTAGGTGCGTGGGCTTCAGTAGTTGTGGTGCGAGGGCTCGGTAGTTGTGGCGCATGGGCTTAGTTGCTCCACAGCATATGAGATCTTCCCGGGCCAGGGATTGAACCCATTTTCCTGCATTGGCAGGTGGATTCTTAACCACTGTAACACCAGGGAAGTCCCTGTTTTTGCTCCTTTTTTTTTTTAATAAATTTATTTATTTTATTTTATTTATTTTATTTTTGGCTGCGTTGGGTTTTTGCTGCTGCACGCAGTTGCAGCGAGTGGGGGCTACTCTTTGTTGCTATGTGCGGGCTTCTTATTGTGGTGGCTTCTCTTGTTGCAGAGTACAGGCTCTAGGTGTGCGGGCTTCAGTAGTTGCAGCACATGGGCTCGGTAGTTGTGGCTCACGGGCTCTAGAGTGCAGGCTCAGTAGATGTGGCACACGGGTTTAGTTGCTCCGTGGCATGTGGGATCTTCCTGGACCAGATATCGAACCCATGTCCCCTGCACTGGCAGGTGGATTCTTAACCACTGCGCCACCAGGGAAGCCCTGTTGCTCCTTTTTGAAGCTGTTGTTTATTTAGTGAATTTTCTGAACTAGTTTTGTAAACTCTGTATTCTTTGTCATGTGTGGACACTGAAATCTCTGTTTCATCAGCTTAGTGGTTCACTGAGATTTCCCTAAACACCTGGGGGGGGCAGGGAGGACTCTTCCAGTCTTTGTAGATTGGCTCTGTGGGTGTGTTGGGGCCTGCTATCACCTCTCAGCCAGGCAGTTTACAGCTCTGTATTAGCCTTCACTTCCTGCTTGTGGTCAGCAAGAGGTTGAGAGCTTAGGGCCTTCTCAGGTCTTTCCTAAGCATGTGCCCAGCCATGGTGTGCAAGTGGCCTTCTAGAGTTGCAAAAATATGTCAAAGCTTTTCAAAGCCCTTATTCTCCAAACTGTCTCGTTCCCCAGCCTTTCCTCTTTGCTGTTATCCCTTGCCCCATTCAGCAGAGGCTCATGCGTTTGTCTTTAAATGTTTTGGACAATTGCTTCTGCCCTGGGAGAGTTCCAAGTTAGGCAAAATAAAGTCAAACCCTTTGAGCTCAGCCATCAGGGAGCCACCAAACAGGTACAAAAAAAAAAATTTTTTTTTTTTTTTATATTTAAACCTACAGTTCTTTGAAAATGAGAAATAAGGTCCATTCTTCCTTGGGTACTTAGGAACCTATACTAGGAATGTAGGCTGTTGTCTTCAAAACTATTGCTGAGTAGGGATGGAGCCCGGATAAGTTAAAATGCTACAAAACTGTCTTACTAGGACCCAGGTGGTTTTTGTCCTCAATAAGTATTCACCTAGTTGCTGTAAACTTTAGTTTCTAGAGTTCTGATAAAGTTGGTTCTGACAGTTTTTTTTGCTGGGTATTTCTCTGCTTTTGTAGAGGGATAACCTTTGAGCATTCCCTACTCTGCCATTTTCACTGATGTAACCTTCTCTCCATATATATTTTTTAAACGTAAGTTGTAGCCCACTAGTGAATTAAGATCTACAGTTCGAAAACACTGGTCTAATATCCTTGGTGTACTAAGAACATATGAACTAATAAGCGAGGTGAAGATTTCCACTCTGAGGGCATGTTAATTAACTATGTTTATTCAAACTTTAACAGAGGAGACTGAAAATATAACCAAAGTGATTTGTTCCACCAACCTTCAGATATGTTGGCAAAATTATAGTCACTTCTCACCATATTAATGGGATATTCAGACAAGTTTCTGAACAGGGTCCCCATTACAGATGTTTTCATCTCCACAGTGTTTGGATTTAGGGGTATACTGTGCAATTGCTGTTACTAGAGACTGTCTTGTCCTCTTTTTCAGCTTTGGGACATCCGTAAGAAAGCAGCGATCCAGACATTTCAGAACACCTACCAAGTGTTAGCTGTGACCTTCAATGACACAAGTGATCAGATTATTTCTGGTGGAATAGACAATGATATCAAGGTATGTTAGATGTTTATCTTATATTTACCTTTCACCTATCTCCACTCACAGAGATAAATCTTTCTAAACTTCTTAGCTTTGCACGTTATGCCAACTAAATGTAAGGTAAATTAGAACTTATTTTCCTTCTGTCCTGTCTTCATTGACTTCCTAAGTCAGGGTTGCATTATAGCTCATGTAAATGCCATTAGGGAGTAGGCAGTTAATGTGAAGTGGGAAGTCCCTGTGTGGGAACTCCGAAAAATGAAGGGTGCATTCCCTGCATTTGAAACTGTTTTTTTAAATGTGTATTGGCCTCATGAGATAGCAGTAAATCAATTTGTGATTCTGTACCCTAATCTCTCAGTGTGTCTTTCTTTTTGAGACTATGGAAAGGAAGTTTTGGGGGGTCCATAGCTAAGAATGTGAGATGGTAATGATGTTGGAGAAAGAGGCAATAGACTACAGTGTCTAGAGGCAGTACAGTGTAGCTCAGGCTTTCAAGTAATTGACTTGGGGTCTATTCTCAGTTCCACTATTTTCTAGTTTTTTGTGACTTCACACTAGTTCTTTCAGCCTCTGTTTTATCATGTGTGCGCCAGGAGTAATAATAATATCTATGTCATAAGGTTGTCATGGGGATTGAATGAGCCAAATTCATTAGAGCACCTCGCAGAGTTTTTGGACATAGCAAGTGCCAGTAAATATGAAATGTGTGGGGGCGGGGGGAGGCCACTCAGTTTGTGTCTGCTTTTACTTACTGGCTTCCTTAGGTATTTCAAAGACTTTGACTTACCTTCTGCTTTGTCATGAGACTAGTAACTGTTGGGTAAATACTCAACTTATGTTGTCTCTACCTAGAAATTGTACTGTATTCCTATCTCTTCTTGCCTCCTTTGCTGTTACTATGGATGGAATGTCCTTTTTTCTAAAGGTAGTCCCTTAAATGGAAGGATTTCAACCTTTTTTTCCTGTCTCTGGGATCTCATGCCATCAATTTTCCCAGATCCTATATATATATATATATATTTTTTTTTAATATTTATTTATTTATTTGGCTGTGCTGGGTCTTAGTTGCAGCCCTCGGGATCTTCCTTGCAGCACTCGGGATCTTTAGTTGCGGCATGTGGGATCTAGTTCCCTGACCAGGGATCAAACCCGGGCCCCCTGCATTGGGAGCGCAGAGTCTTAGCCACTGGACCACCAGGGAAGTCCCCCAGATCCTTTATTTTTAAACAACTGTATTGCTTCTCATTAGCATTTCATTATGCTCAGGTCTTCTCTTGGTGGGGTAAGGAGTCTTCCTTCAGTTCCACATTCTCTTGTTATTGCCCTGTCAATCTTCCCCTTTACAGCCAAACTTCTTTTTTTTTTTTTTTTTTTTTTTTTGCCGTACGTGGGCCTCTCACTGTTGTGGAGCACAGGCTCCGGACGCGCAGGCTCAGCGGCCATGGCTCACGGGCCCAGCCGCTCTGCGGCATGTGGGATCTTCCCGGACCGGGGCACGAACCCGTGTCCCCTGCATCGGCAGGCGGACTCTCAACCACTGCGCCACCAGGGAAGCCCCAGCCAAACTTCTTGAAAGGTGGTGATAGTGGTTATGTTAATAGTGTTATCATTATCCTCTAATACTTAACTGTGTCGGACATTGTTCTTGGAGCTTTACATTATTAATTCATTTAAGCCTCACAACAATCCTATGAAATAAGTACTATTAATGCCGTTTTACCAGTGAAGAAACTGAGCTAAGAGAGGCACAATAACCCGAGGCTATACAGCTAATAAGCGATGAGACCTCAGTTCAAAATGCAGAGTTTGGTTCCAGAGTCCTGCTCTTATTTAATACCTGTGAGAAATCCCCTGAAGATTTCCCACACTCACTGTCTCTAATGTCTTATCTCCGTTCCATTCCTCAGTTCGTATCTCCTGACCACTCCTCAGCAGTCTGGCTTCTGCCTCCACTGTTTTATTGACACTGTTCTCTTCAAGGCCACCAGTGATCTCTCTGTTACTAAACCCAGTAGATCCTTTTAGTCCTTTTTTGTTTGTTTTTTTAAACTGGCTCTAACAATGTGCTTTCCTACCCTTTCCATCAGGCATATCCTTCCTCATATACCTCTACAAGCTATTCTCTCTATGCATTCTTTAAATGTCATTATTCCCCCAGGTTCTTAACTAGATGCTCTTCTTATATATACCTTTCCCTGGACAAGTCTCATCTAATTCTGTGACTTTAATTGTCATTTCTGTTCAGATGAGTCTGTTCTCAACCCAGATCTTCAGCTCCCGGCCCATGTGTACAACCAGCTACTCAGCATCCCCCACTTGGATGTCTCATAAATACTTCAAAATTCACCATTTCCAAAATTCAGCTTCACATCCCTTTTCCACCCTATAACTATTTGGAGAATGTATAGTCAGAACATGGGGGCTTAATTAGATCATCTTAATAGCTAATGCATTATTTCCCTGAGTGAAGTTTGGGGGCCCACTATCATTAGAATCACTAGAGGGCTCTAATACACATAAAAGTGGATTAGTGTCATCTAGCTATGATAATTTTCATACTTTTAAGTTATTATTACATTTACATACTATGAAATTAACCTTTTTTTAGTGTACAGTTCTATGAATTTTAATGCTTGTGCAGATTCATGTAACTACCACAAACAGTACAGAACAATTTCCATCACCCCAAAAATCTTCATAATACTCCTCTGTGTCAAACCCTCTGCCCATCCCTAACCCCTACCAACCATTGATCATGTTCCTTGTCCTATAGTTCCTATTCTAGAATTTCATATGAATGGAATCATACAATATGTAACCTTTTGAGACTGGCTTTTTAAATTTAAACTATGAGAATTTGATCTTTTCATATCTACTGTGGGGATAGACTAGCCTAATACTCTTGTGCCAGTAATGTCTTCTTACCTCAAGTAGTGTGGCTTATTCCGGGCTCTTTGTGTAGACTGTTCCAGGGCGTTTTATAAACAAATATATTCAGTTTTACTATAGTCCTGAAGGGAACTGAGTCTCTTTTTAGGTTTTGAAGGTTTTCCATGTCTTCTCAGACACACGTTATATGTTATACCTTCTGTTAGGATCAGCTTTTTTTCAGATAGCTAATCTCAGTCTTTGTCTGTTGATGTATACCAATTTTTTTCTGAAATCCAAATATATCTCAAATATGAGTAATATATAAATATAGTCCCATGAGTACGGCAGTTAATAACTCTACATCATAGCTTTGTAAACTTTTTTTTTTTAATTGAAATATAGTTGATTTACAGTGTTGTGCTAGTTTCTGGTATACAGCAAAGTAATTCAGTTGTACATATATATTCTTTCTCATATTCTTTTACATTATGGTTTATTACAGGATATTGAGTATAGTTCCCTGTGCTGTACAGTAGGACCTTTGTTGTTTATTTTATATATAGTAGTTTATATCTGCTAATCCCAAACTCCTGATTTATCCCTCCCCAACTCCCTTTCCCCTTTGGTAACCATAAATTTGTTTTCTGTGTCTGTGAGTCTGTTTTGTAAATAAGGTCATTTGTGTCATATTTTAGATTCCACATGTAAGTGATGTATCATATGGTATTTGTCTTTCCCTTTCTGACTTACTTCACTTAGTATGATAATATCTAGGTCCATCCATGTTACTGCAAATGGCATTATTTCATTCTTTTTATGGCTGAGTAATATTACATTATATAATATACCACATTTTCTTTATCCATTCATCTGTTGATGGACATTTAGGTTGCTTCCATGTCTTGGCTGTTGTAAATGGTGCTGCTGTGAACATTGGGTACATGTATCTTTTCAAATTAGAGTTTTCTCCTGATGTATGCCCAGGAGTGGGGCTGTTGGATCATATCATAGCTTTGTATCTTTATCTTTCTAAACTAAAACGTCATTATTCTGTCCACAGACGTTCAAGTTTTTCTGCCAGTGCTCACTTTCAGGGATTTTCTTTTTATTAGAAATGCACACAGTATTCTAAAAACTCGAGCATTCTCATCATGTACCTGCTCTGGATCATTACGTTCTCTTGTCAGCATTGGGAACTCCGTGTTTGTGTGCTGTTTACAGTATGTCTTATTTTCCAAGCTAAAAATCAGGGTAGTCTTTCCTGATTTGCCTACTTATTTACCTTAAAAGTTTTGCAGAGATGTAAAAAATGCATTTAACTGTATGGTTAATAAATCAACTTTATTGGGAATAAAATTATTAAAAATTGAGATAAAATTATTTATTACAATTTAAATGTTTTTAGTAGCAAAAATGATCATTTTTTCATTGAAGAAAGTTTAGAAAAAATAAAAATAGAAAAAAAGTCACTCGTAGTCTCATCATTCAGATTTAGTCACTCTTGATATTTCAGTTTATTTCCTCTCAGTCTCTTTCTGTGCCATAGTGTTTTGTATGTAAATGTCTTAATGTTCAGATAAAATTTTATATGATGCTCTTTTCACTTAGTAACACATAGCTACTACTTTGTCTGGAACCCCCGACACTAGATATTGCCATGGCTAGCTTAGTCTTGCCTTCAAATGTCAGCTCAGACATATCTGTAAAGAGGATTTCTTAGATGAAACTAGGCCCTCCTAGTTGCTCTCCATCACATCACTCTTATCTTACTTTCTTCTTAGCGTTGTAGTTAGGATCATTTTTCTGTTTCTTTTGTTCTCTAGTTTTATTGAGATATAATTGACTTATAACACTGTATTAGTTTTCAGTATACAGCATAATGACTTATATAACACAAAATGATTAACTTTAGAAGTCTAGTTAACATCCATCACTTCACATTGTTAGAATATATTTTCTTGTGATAAGAACTTTTAAGATCTATTTTCTTAGCAACTTTCAAATATACAATGCAGTATTGTTAACTTTAGTCACCATAATGTACATAACGTCCCCAGAACTTAGGATCATTTTTCTGATTCTGCCACTTAATTCCTAGCTATGTGATCTTAAGAAAGTTATTTAACCTCTCTGAGTTTCCATTTCTTATCTCTAAATGGGAATAATCAGCCTACCTCATACAGTTGTTACGTGGATTAAATGAGGTAAAAAATATAATATTCTTAGCAACATGGCAGTTACATAGTAAGTGTTCAGCACATGTCAGCTACCATCATCTAGAATATTAGAATAGTCTAGATATTTTATTATTAGAATATTCCATAACGTAGTAAGCAGCAGTCAATATACTGAACATTTAGTCTGTTTCATATGTATCACTATTACAAATTATGCTGCTGTATCCAACATATTTGTGTGTGAAACTTTTTCCATATTTAGTTACTTCCTCAGAATAGATTTCTAGATGAAAATTAATGTGTTAACAAATATAAGGATGTTTCACATTTTGGATACAGGTTGCCAGATTGTTTTTTGGCGACAGTAGTTAATAATTTGAAATCAGGTTGCTATAGCTATTTGGCTTCATTTCACTCTTGTATAACTAAGGGGTGTGCTTGAGAGATGTGAGACCATAGAATTTCAGTCTTCTCCCTATTTAACAACATCCTGTTCTGACATGCTTAGGAGTGAGTAACTGCCCTTGGACCCAGAAAGACTCTTTTTAAGAATATATATATATATATATGTATGTGTGTATGTATGTATTTATTTAATTTATTATTTTTTTTGGCTGCGTTGTGTCTTCACTGCTCCGTGCGGGCTTTCTCTAGTTGTGGGGAGCGGGGGCTACTCTTTATTGTGGTGTGCAGGCTTCTCATTGTGGTGGCTTCTCATTGCGGAGTGTGGGCTTCAGTAGCTATGGCCCAGGCTTGAACCCGTGTCCCCTGCAAATTGCCTCTATCAAATTGCCTCTAGTCAATTAACAAGTATGCTTTAAGCAGTCAGGGGCTTACCAGCCTTGAGCATTTGCTTGACAAATCCCTATACTGCCTTACTACATTAGGAAGTACTCCTGACTAGCCTGGTTTTTGTTTGCTTCTGTCTCTCAGATACACTGCCTTTTCTGAGAAAGGGGGGGAGCAAACAGGGAATGGAAGCCCCTTTTAAAATCTGGAGTGAGCAAATTATCTATATGTTTGTGAGCAAATATACTGTTCCTGCCAGCCTCTTGGGATTTTCTTCCTGGGCATAGAATTGTGGAGTCAGAGGAAAATGAATAGAAGAAAATGTGCTTCTTCTTAATGACTTGAAGATCTGATTGGCAATTCTTTGGCATTGCTTGTAATCCTGAGCTCTAGTCAGAATGGGAGTTTAGTTGATGATTTTTTTTAAGGTAGTGGGTAAAGATAGATTTTCCCACCTCTGCTCTCATCCTTTCCGATTATCTGGGCCAGAAGGATCTTTCTGGAATCTGGCCAGCTCATTCCACTCCTCTGAACCCTTCTGTGGCTCCCCAGTGAGGGAGATCAAATCCAAGCCAGTCATTGAAAACCTTTCATGAGCTGCCCTTTGCCTGCCTATCACTCAAGCATTGTCTGCTGCCTCTCTTTGCCCAATTCCCTGCAACCCAGTAATTTTTTCATGCCTCTCTGCTTTCATGCATTGTCTTTGCCTGGGAATACCCTTCTATTTTGTCTAAATAAAAATTACCTCTTAGGGGCTTCCCTAAGAGGCGCAGTGGTTGAGGAATCTGCCTGCCAATGCAGGGGACACGGGTTCGATCCGTCGACCGGGAAGATCCCGCACGCAGCTGAGCACCTAAGCCTGTGCACCACAACTACTGAGCCTGCGCTCTAGCGCCCGTGCTCCGCAACAAGAGAAGCCACCGCAATGAGAAGCCCACACACCGTACAAAGAGTGGCCCCCGCTCACCACAACTAGAGCGAGCCCATGTGCAACGAGGACCCAACGCAGCCAAAAATAAATAAATTAAATAAATAATTTTTTTTTAAAAACCCAACAAGCTCTTGGGAATTCCCTGGTGGTCCAGTGGTTAGGACTCTGCGCTCTCACTGCCAGGCGCCCAGGTTCCAGCCCTGACTAGGGAACTAAGATCCCACAAGCTGCGTGGTGTGGCAAACAAATAAACAAACAAAAATCTCCTTTTTCCATATCCTGCTCAAGTGCTTTATTCTCTGTGAAACCTTCCCTTTCTCCCTCCCATCCATGTACCATGGAAACATTAATCCCTCCGCTGTCTTGGCTATTGCCCCCTTTCCAGGCCTCTCATCACTTTTTTAGCTCCTTGAGAACAGGGACAACATCTCTTTTATCTCCAGCAGCGCCTGCCACTAATCAGATGCCCAAACATTCACTGAACAGCTGATTAGGACATCTGCAAAATATTTTGCTTAAATTAGTGCCCTACTCACTCTTCTTTGGCAAATCCCAGATACATTTTGGCTCTGCAGAACAGCATGTGCAGGCCTCAGAGGAAAGTCTGGAAGGAGCACCCAAGTGTTGTGAGGGATGATGAATTACATTCTCTCCTAAAAAGCTGAAGATTTCAACAATGCCTTCTCTGAAGAGGAGGAACAATAGCTTGAACAAAAAAATGTCAGCCACTTCAAGCTTCCCTAATTATTGAGGCAACAAACATCCTGACACAAAAATGACTGTATATGAAGTGTGTTGGGTTCCACACACATGAATTATTGATGGGGAAAGTGGAGTTGTCTGCCTTATGTATTGCTTTGACATATAACATCAAATTCATTTCTAGATGAGGAAGATGTCTTGCTTAAAGGGACAGCAGAAAATTGTTTCATTTAGAAAAACTATGTGTCAGTACTGAATCAAATTTGGATGAAATTTTATATGATAACAATGACCTTAACAAAATTGCTGTTCTTTTTCCATATGACATTCCAGACCATTTCTATTGCCTTTAATATATTTTTTACATAGTTTCAGTCTATGTAAATATAGGCTGTTTTGTATTTTCCTTTGCTTAATAATAGATTATTTTATAAACATTTTTACATTTGATCTTCAGAGTATTTGTAGGAGTTGCTTAATAATAGCTACCAATTATTATTGGGCCTGCTGTGTACTAGGCATTCTATTTGTAATCCTCACAACAGCCATAAGAAGTAAATGTTATCTCCACCTTACAGACCAGAAACAGGCTCAGAGAGGGTTAGTGGCCCAGTGATACATAACTTTTAAGTTTCAAAGACTGGTTCGGTCTGACCCTAAATGCTCACTCTTTCCACTCTGCTCTTCGAATGCTAGCATGAGAGCTCGTAGTGTTACAGTATGTTTATGAGCCATAACTTAATGAACAATTTATTTTTTCTGTCTGACATTAGGTTATTTTCAGCTGAACTGTTTCTCTTACCTTTCCTACCCAGGGAACAGTGAACCTACAATTTATTTTTCTTTTAATAAATATGTTTTTCCATTGTATACATGTTATGACGTTAAATGAAAAATTTTAAGCCTCTATTTTTGCATATTACCTTGTTATATACATTTTACATGCAATCATAATGCCTTTTTAAATGACTTGTTTACTTGTTTTTATATAGTTATAATTTATTTTTAGTTGCTAAGAATCATAGTTTAAGTGTTTTAAATGCTACTTTGCTTTTTAATTCCTAATATATTTTGTTATGAATTAAAAATAACCTCTTTAAATTGTATTATTTTTTGTTAAACTTGATCTTAATATTTGACATTCATTAGTTCATATTTTTCTAGTCAAACTTAGTAACTTTGACTCTGTTTTAGAAAGGCAAGAGTTTTTTCTTCTTTGGTAGAAATCCTATATTTTGTGGTAAAGTAATGCTTGGCCCAGAGGCAGATTAAGAAGGGATACCAATTTTCCCAGGCAGTTGACTCTTTAATAACTATTTCTTTGCTGTTCACAATTTGATTTTCTGGGAGTGCTGCCTTGTTTTGTTTTGCAGGTCTGGGACCTGCGCCAAAATAAGCTGACCTACACGATGAGAGGCCATGCAGATTCAGTGACTGGCCTGAGTTTAAGCTCTGAAGGCTCTTATCTCTTGTCCAATGCAATGGACAATACAGGTAACTTTGGAAAGGAAAGCTCTCCCAGTGCCCAGTCACTGTAGACCCTAAAGAAAGTGGGCATTAGAAACTAGAAATGTGTGCTGGATAAATGAGGGTCCAAGGAAAGAGTCCAGGATGGCTTGCAGGTGTCCACCAGGACAATTAGGAAAACAGCTTGTAATAGAAAACACGTCAGGCCCAGAGGGCTGGGTGCGCGGGAAGGCAGCCTGGCCTCCACGCCACATGCCACCATGTCGATGCTTTGCCGCCTCGGCGTTGTAAGGCAGATGTCTCTTCTTTGCCTGTGACAAATAGGTTTTGGAAAAAGTTGCCTATGATGACCCTGAACTTGCACCTTTATGAGACTCAGAAGGAAGAGAAGTCCAAACCCATCAGACGTTGCCCCATTCACTACAAAGAGGACCTGCCTTTTGATATTGTAGAGCTCATGGAGGAGATAGAAAAGAAGACAGGATTTTTAACAAATGTATTTAAGTGTTGTGTCACCGGCCATTGGAATTCAGAGCCTTCTTTGCTTACTACAGTGCCGTCTGTAACAAGGAAACAGGCCAGCTCAGCAAAGCTGACAAGGAACTCATCATTGTGGTAACCAGCCTGGCCGACCGGTGCTCTTATAGCGTGGTTGTCCACAGTGCCCGGTACAGGGTCTTCTCAAAGAACCCAGTGCTCTCTGACCAGGTCCGTGTGAACTGGAGAAAGTCTGACCTCCCTGCCCAGGAAAAGGCAATGCTGGAATTTGCACTTGCTATTTTCCTGAGCTGATGATAACATGACCATTTCAAAAAGCTCGAGGTACATGTCTTCACCCAAGAAGATGCCTGGGATATAGCTGCAATTCAGCCTTTTTATGCCATGTCCAGCCACCTTGCTCATTTTGTCAGTCTTGTTCCCAACAAAGAATTCTATCTGATGGGCAGAAACAATGATGTCAAAGACATCAGGAGTGAACCTGCTGCTCTCAAAGTATAAAAGCCTGAACAGAAAGGCCAATGTTTACATGTCCAGCACACTGCATTATAAGACACCAGTTGGGAAGTAATTTTTTAAAATATTTAGTCAGTGGATAGGGAAGAAAGTAAATAAATTTGTTCCCTGCCTGCTTGGTGAGATAGATCCTAAGGGACATGTGATATCTGGGCCTAGGGGAAACCTTTTACTTTTTTACTTCTGTTGTGATCAGGGACAAAGGAGTTCAGAGGATGCTTTAGGCATTTCTGATGAACTGATATCTCTGAATTTCAGCAGTTGAAGTTGAACATTTTTTAGCTTTTAAAAATAGTGTTACATAGAAATTGGTCTGTATAGACTAGTTTGAAATCAGTTCCTTGTTAACACGGTGGTATGTAAAGACTCTGAAAGGCAGTGGGTAAATAGAAGCAGGCACCATGTTTTTCTTTCTTTAATGCCTTCCCCATTAACCTCCAGTGATTTTTGTTTAAATCATGGTCATCTCAGTAGAATTTTAGTCCTTATGTAGTTTATTCTTATTTTAGGTTTTAGTAAAAATTATTTGGAACAAGAAGGTGCTCATATTTTAAGCAGAAGTGTAAGAAAAAACCGACCCTGACTTTACTAAGCGACTCGTTCTGCGTGTCACAACCACCACTGCCTTATGTGTGCGGCTGTCTTAACTTTGCAGGAGTCATTTTCATTATCTAACTGATAGAGGTACATGCAAACCTACAAAATGCTTAGAGGTACATGCAAACCTACAAAATGCTTTTGTTTCCATTTGACTTCTTTAGATTCTCTAAATTGCCAGTGACCAGTTCTTAATCAGTTTGGGGGCAATAGTGAGTTAATTTTGAATTGCCTGAACTGTGAAACCTGATTATCTTGAGACAGCACAACTCTTGCTGCAGAGCTTGTGTTTTTCTGTTGGAACTATATCTTAAATACTTTGGAATATGTAACCTTTTAAAATTGACTTTTGAGGGGAGGAGGCAGGGGCATAAAAAAGAAAAGAAAAGAAAAGGAAGAAAAAGAAAAAACTTTAGAAGAGATGGTCAAGAAGCCAGGATACTAGTCCCAGATCTGCCATCTAATCCCTGAGCAACTTTGCACGTAGCATTTGTCCTCTCTGGGCATCAGTTTCTATACTGATAATATAAGAGACCTGGACTTTACTTTTAAGGCCCATTTCAGTTCTGGTATGTTATGAATCCAAGGCTGTGGATTCAAGCGCGGTACAAAAAACTCATAGTGATTAGTTTACTGAGGAAGATGAGTCTGGAGATCCATCCAAGGCAGTTCTCAAGCATTTTCAAAGAATACCAAGCTAAGATGATCAATAGACCTATTGATATCTCAGTTGTGCTTTCTGCCAGTCTATCTTCCCTTCCCTATGTGACAAGAGGTCCTCATTAAAACACCTCAGTATTCTGGATTTACACACACACTTGTCCTTTCTTTGCTTATTTTTGAATTGTTGGATGGGAGGTTGGGTTTACTATAGCAAAAAAGAAAGATGATCTGTTGGATTATATGCTTAATATTGGGAGAGTTTGGAACTGCCCCTCTGATAGACTAAAATGTTTTCACTGACATTTTGTAAATGAAAACTGTGCCTAGCACTCAATGGGTGCTCAATTAATACTTGTTGAATGAATGAACATCCTTACCTTCTGACTGTATTCTCAGCTGAATAGCAAACTTTCATGCATAGCTTCACCTTTTTATACCTGTTTGACTTCAAGGATTGTTGTTTTTTTCACATTCAAATAAAATGACATCACTCAAATTCCACTGTAGGTTTAGCTTTAGTTAACAATGGCTGTGGCCACTGCTTACTGTGGGTGTTTATATCCTATTTCAATAGATTTGCCATTGTCTAATTCTAGCTTTGTTCATAGTAAGGAAAGATGAGATTCTTAGCTTTAGTTAACAATGGCTGTGGCCACTGCTTACTGTGGGTGTTTATATCCTATTTCAATAGATTTGCCATTGTCTAATTCTAGCTTTGTTCATAGTAAGGAAAGATGAGATTCTTAGCTTTAGTTAACAATGGCTGTGGCCACTGCTTACTGTGGGTGTTTATATCCTATTTCAATAGATTTGCCATTGTCTAATTCTAGCTTTGTGCATAGTAAGGAAAGATGAGATTCCCTAAATGGTTATTAAAATAAAAATAAGAATCTCTTGTTATAGCTATACAATAAAATAACAAATTTTTTGTTTATTTTTATTGTTTTGTTTATTGCTGCCAATCTTGTAGAGCCCTTTCACATGTATCATTTTATTTGACCCTTAAAATATTCTTATTTTAAAAAAAAGAGCAAGTGGTATTCTCATTTTATAAAGGCGACCAAAACACAAAGAACCTCACTATTTTCCTGATATCTCCCATATATACAGCAGAGCTAGAATTGGAATCAAAGTTCACTTTTTCTAATTCTTGGTAGTTTGGTAGTTGTCAGTTTCCCCTATGAGCAAAATTAGAAAAGGTTAGTCCTGAGTTTGATTTTTATAGATTGATTGTCACAGTAGTCAGTGGTATTTAGATTGTCATATTGAAACTTTGCTAGGTGTGACTTTTGGGGTTGGCAGAGGAATCATTTGCAGAATGTTTTGTTGAAATCAGTATCACACCCAACTACTTTCTGTTGCAGATCCCTGGCAATGTGTTTGACATTTTCCCTTCCTACCTTCTCAGTTTTCCTCTGTGTCCTTAGTCCCTGTTAATAGAACTTGGATGCATTTCGTTCCCATTAGAAAAATAAAAAAGCCTTGTTAGGTAGCAGTGTACCATGTTGGTCTTTCTCCACCCAGGAAACAGCATCTATCATTGGCATGATTCTGATTTCAGCTGGGTTCTCAGGAGGCCCCTGGCTGATAGCTGTTTTGCTTTGTTTGTTTGAATTTGCAGTGCGGGTCTGGGATGTCCGGCCATTTGCTCCCAAAGAAAGGTGTGTGAAGATATTTCAAGGAAATGTGCACAACTTTGAAAAGGTGAGTTCTGCATGGCAGAGGAATTTTACTGTCCATTTGATTCAAAGAAACATTTAAGATGGTGCTAAGGATAAGGAACAACAGTTCTACTGAGAAGGGGCTGCATTCTAGTAACACTGTTCTGCATCAAAACTGTTCTTGCCAGAAGTAAAAGTAATAGAAGCATAGGCAAGAAGGCAATCACATAGATAGATAGTGATGGGGCCCCCCTCAAATTTAGGACTTCGGGCTTCAACAAGACACTGCTATCTTTTTAATTCCTTGGAAACTTTGACCCTCAGAGATCAGTGTTCCATATGGGACTCAGATTCCCATGGCTATTACCCAGATGGCCACCCTCACCCTCCCAGTGACCAGCTATTAGAGCCCTGAGAATACATCCCTTCCCTCAGTAAGCACCACAGGCCAAGTTCTGAGAGACAGAAATTTTTTCTAAACTCTCAAATCCCAGGTCAGCTCTTCAAAGCAGCTTTTCCTCCAGATAGTTTGTTAATATAGACTAATGTTTTTCTTTCGAGAACCCATTAAAATTCAATTTCACTTTATAAATCAAATTTTATCTTTTGTTAGAATTGCTTTTATTTTTATTTTCCTATAATATAAACAAAAAATTTAATGAGGATCAAGATAAAGGAGCAAGGGGAGCCTCCGTTTGTAGGCAGAATAAAATTTTGTTGCCAGGTCCACTCTTAATTTACTGTAAATTGAGCAATTTCTACAGTTGGTTTTTATATAGTTTGAAATATATCAAATTAGGCTGTCTTGGGCCAATATAAGATAATTATTGATTATATGCTGGGGAGAATAATTAAAACTCTATTTAAGAGGGGGAATTTCCTGGCGGTCTAGTGGTTAGGACTCCATGCGTCCACTCTAGGGGGCACAGGTTCGATCCCTGGTCAGGGAACTAAGATCCCACAAGCCGTGTGGCACGGCCAAGAAAAAACTCAGGAAATTTAAAGTCTCTTAGTGATGCTGTAGTCTAATAAAGAGGGGTTTGGTGCATTATTATATTCATTGGATTCCTTCTTATTCATCATTATAGAATCTTCTGAGATGTTCTTGGTCACCTGATGGAAGCAAGATAGCAGCTGGCTCAGCCGACAGGTAAGGATTACTGGGCATGAGGTAAAGAATGATGTAGCCATGCAGGTATCTTCTCATGTTTAATACATTAAGTGCAGATACTGAGCTATAGCAGACAGGGAGTTATAGCTGTACTCAGAGATGAAGTCATGTGCGGTCTGAAGGGTTTCGGATCATGTGAACAAACACATCATTTCTGCCCTCTCTGGATACATTTTACACCTGGAGTGTAAACAGTTTCTTTGGTTATTGGATTCCCTTTGCCATCAAAGTAAAATTCAAACTCCTAATCTGGCTCCAGTTTCCTTCATGAGATTCTTCTGCCATGCTTCAGTTCATTCAGATACATATTGTGTACTCCTCCCCCACCATCACCACAGTGCTTCACTCACATGGAACTTTCCCTGTTCTTGCATCCCTTATGCCTCCAGGCTTCTCTCTTATATCTCCTCTTCTCCATTATCCAAACTCCTATATCTCTGTAGTAATCACCTATATGATATCTATAAACTTTCCTGGCTCTCTCTCCCCCTTACCTCTCAAGCATTACTAATTGCTCTTTGTTCTGGCTTGTAGTCACACTGTATACATCTAACCTTTATTAACGTTTATTACATCTTACAGTAAGACAAACATAGTGGGGCACTCCTACTAAATTATATGCTCCTAGATGTCAGGAAATGAGTCTTACTCATCTCTGAGTGAGTAAGCAGCTAGTGAATATTACATGAATAAATTCCTAGCTCAAGGATGGTAGTCAAATTTTGCCCTGCATATCAGCTCATCTATTGGTAATGGCTGCCTATGTTGGGGATGATTCAGAGCTGGGTCTGGGTTCAATGGGAAAAGTGTCAAGATTGCTAGGTGAGGGGTATGGCAGTATGTGGGCTAGGTATTTTCCAACCCTAAGCTGAATTAAGAGACTGTGAAGCTTTAACTATCAATTTAAACTGCCTGAGGAATTAGGTGATGAATGAGAAACAGAAGAGAGAGAATTCTTCATTCAGATGCTGTTGTATTTGACATGTCTGTGGTGACCTATAATTGGGAGTCACAGGTTGAGTAGGGGTGTTCAAGTGCCTAGGGCTGCAAATGTGGAATGGTAAAGAATGATGAGGCCCTCTGATGGTAGACTCTAGGTTTAGCTCCTAATGGGAGGTGTCTTAACCCTTTTTAGCTTAACCCCATCTTTCTCCCCCCTTAGAGATTTTCCTGCTACCTGACTAAAACAGGCACCATCCTATAAGCATGAAGCCTTTCCTAGGCTAGCTTGGGCTTTCAGCATGTGCCAGAGTTTTCTCCTATATGTGGGTCTAGCACAACCGTAAAGAAACCTCACTTTGGTCTGTTCCCCCCTTCTGACTTTTGAACAATGCTGAACATACCTGAAGATTCCAGAGTCCACTTTTTTTCCCTGGCATGTTTAATGCCAGGAAAAATGGACAAGTATTTGAGTATTTTATGGGGGAAAAAGGGCCCAGGTAAAAACCATGTCACATTGCTGGTTTGAGTCCTGGTGGTTTAGCAAGCTGCCCTGAAGAGGGAATCTAAAGGATTTTCAGTTGCCAGGTTTCTAAAGACCTTGAAAAACAGGCCCACAGCCTAAGATGTCTTACATTCTGACAGAGTAAGAACCATTCTAAGTATTTTTACATGATTTTCAGCAGAGATGTATCTTTCCTATGTAATTAAGCTTTTAAATGATATCTGCCTAGCTTTTCTTCTGAGCAGTTTGTTTCTGATATTGGTCCTTTCTAACTTTCAGTGTCCTCTCTTCCCTCTTTCCCTC